ATTTTCTCACACAGACATATATTCTCAACCAAACTATTTTCTTTACGATTCTTGTCAATAGATTTTCTAAGACTCTAACAAAATAACAAAATAACAACAAAGATAAATAAAAGGAATTATATTTTATTCATTATTACTGTTGAAAATAAAAGGGATTATATATATTTTTATTATGACTACTCTTATACTTTTGTTAGACACCGGTATATCTTATCTCCTTCAGGTAACACTCAACAAGCCAGTAACCTCAATACAATCACAACAATTCACATAACATACCAGATCATCTAAGATTGTTGAGTAATTTTTTTTTTCCTCCTCTGATCTTAAGAATACTTGCAATAACGAGATTTCTATATTTCATTTATTTCTTCTCTCTCTCTCTCTCTCTCTTCTCTTTATTTCCACTATATTTTCCTCAATATCTATTTTTTGAGGAGAGAGAGAGAGAGAGAGAGAGAGAGAGAGAGAGAGAGAAAATGAAGAATGAGAATCCAAGTTGTTCAGAGTAGCATAAATTGTGATCCTGACCAAGAATGTGGTAGCAGAGGCAATAAGCGGTGTTGAGTGAGAAGCCTGCCTGCTGTACTGGAGTGACCATGAGATGAAAATGAAAGTCCACCGGTAATTTTCTTTTCCTAGATTGAAAGAGAAACACAAAGGAGGAAAACGAAAGATCTCTTATTCTAAAACTTTACGAACTCAATAGATGTTTAATTTATCACTAACGCATTTTGTTTACTTATTCATTTATCTAATTTTACAATAAATTACGTATATCCATCTAATTACGTGTTGATTTTGTACTGGATGTGATTAAAATATCAGATTTACTACCCTATTCTTGTGGCGGATGTGATCGTGTGTCCTAGAAAGGGTAAACAAGCCGATGGAGGCGGGGCTAGAGATGACAAGTGACGGTCGGCTTGCGTGCGTGTTTAACTTCTTCCTCCCAACAAAAAAAAAGGGTGAGGGGGGGGAGGAGGAGGAGGAGGGATTTCTTTCCTTGGCCACGGCCCTCGATTCTCTCGTTAAATCCAGGGTTTAAGTTACTTCACAACTGTTGCTTGTCATTTAAACTGTCACTTTCTGAGGTTTTTGAGGCTGCCGAACTTTTATTTTCTGTGGTGGAGTGACGTCAATCTGAGATGATGTTTCTGTCTTCTATTTAAATACAGTATATATAATTTTTTTTTTTGTATTGCATAGTTGTTGAGTTTATGTTCGATATTAATATTGTGGAAAATAGCTGATTTATTTCTGTCGTTTCTTCTGCCTGTCTGTCTGCCTGTCTCTCTCTCTCTCTCTCATATAGGTCTAAATACAACGAAATAAAGTATGGTTCTGAATTTATCAAATGGAACTCACAAACAAACTACACATAAACAAACAAACAAAAACATAAGCAGCTCACTCAAAACCATGAAAACAATTAAACAAAACCAAATAAAAAAAACACACACTCAGAAATAACCACACCCAAAGAACTTAGTAACACACACACACACACACACACACACACACACACACACACACACACACACACACACACACACCTCTCACTACACACACACACACACACCTGTCACTACAGTCCAAAACCACAGACACCACCACAAAAAAAAACCCCATTATTTACATCCGTGAAAGTAGTTGATAATGTAAAACTGAACTGAAGTGACAATTACTATTTTTATAAGTCAATTCTGTATGACATTTGGCAATATTATAATTACTTCCCCTAAGAAACGATATAAGTAGTGATTTTTTAGGGAATTAGTTAACAATTAAGTAGAATTAGTTAGAATTCTTATGTGATAATTTATTTAGGTTTGTTAATAAGTTATGATTTTATAAGCTGGGTAAAAAAGAGAAAAATTATGAACATAGACAGACAGACAGACAGACAGACAGACAGATAGACAGACAGACAGACAGACAGACAGACAAACAACATAAACAGACAGACAGACAACATAAACAGATAGACAGACAGACAGACAAAGTTACACTCAACCTGTCTGCCCCGGGCTCTTTACCTGTAGTCTTTAAGTGATTGATGAACTGTAACTGTATAGTGACTGTAAGACACATTGTACCTGTATGATGACTGTATAATGTAACTGTATGATGAGTGTATAATGATGACGACTGTATGATAACTGTATAATGATGGTAACTGTATGATGAGTGTATAATGATGACGACTGTATGATAACTGTATAATGATGGTAACTGTATGATGAGTGTATAATGATGACGACTGTATGATAACTGTATAATGATGGTAACTGTATGATGAGTGTATAATGATGACGACTGTATGATAACTGTATAATGATGGTAACTGTATGATGAGTGTATAATGATGACGACTGTATGATAACTGTATAATGATGGTAACTGTATGATGAGTGTATAATATATCTACTGTAACTTTGAGATGATATTACAGTATATATGGTTAATAAAACAGAATTAAAGTAAAACAATAATAAATACAAAATACGAGTAATAGAAGTAACGATTAATATAAAGGAATGATATTAAAAAACAAAATAATATACAAAATCATGAGTTGGCAGCACCACACCTAAAGAATGAATGGGTGGGTGTGTGTACGTGACGTTATGGTCCTTTGGTCACGTGACTCGCCTCATCAGCTGATTGACGAAGAGGGGGTGTGAGGAGGGGTTAAACGAGAGGGGTGTGGGGGAGGGGTTAAAACAAGGGGTGTGGGGAGGAGTTAAAACAAGTGGGGGGAGGGGTTAAAACAAGGGGGTGTGGGGAGGGGTTAAAACAAGGTGGGGAGGGGTTAAACGAGGGGTGTGGGGGGGTGTGGGAGGGAGGGGTTCAAACGAGTGGTGTGGGGGAGGGTTAAAAATGAGGGGTGTGGGGAGGGGTTAAACGAGTGAAGTGAGGGGAGGGTTAAAACGAGAAGTGAGGAGGGTGGTGGGGGAGGTTAAAACGATAGTGGGGAGGGGTTAAAACAGGGGGTGTGGGGAGGTTAAAACAAGGGGTGTGGGGAGAGTTAAAACGAGGGGTGTGGGGGAGGGTTAAAACGGTGGTGAGGGAGGGGTTGGGGTAGGGGTTAAAACGAGTGAAGCGGGGGAGGGGTTAAAACGAGTGAAGTGAGGGAGGGGTTAAAACGAGTGGTGTGGGGGAGTGGTTAAAACGAGTGGTGTTAATGGGAGGGAAGGTTGTAGGGAGGGGGGAAGGGTTCTGATTTATACAAACGTTAGTCAAATATTTATATAAACAAAAATACATAGAAGAATAAATATAATAATGAATAAATTTATAAATAAAAATACATCAGTAATTTATACAATGATTCGGTAATAAAAGATAAAAAATATTAAATAAACAGTAAATAAGTTATTAAAAAACAGAAAATATAACAAATTTATCATATTTTAATTATGAATAAAAAAGATAATTACTTTTGGTATATAAGTTCAATAGATATGTTAACTAGGCCGTTGGGGGTCCTGGTAGAGATATCTCTCTCTGTGTCTCTTTTTCTCTCTCTCACTTTATCTTTCCCTTCCTCTCTCATTTTCTTTTTCTTTTCTTCTTTCTCTTTTTCACTTTCTTTTTCCCTTCTTATTTTTCTTTCTCAGTTTCTCTCTCTCTCTCTCTCTCTCTCTCTCTCTCTCTCTCTCTCTCTCTCTCTCTCTTTCCATTCCACACTCTCTACTGTGATTTCTCTGTCTGTCTGTCTGTCTGTTTGTCTCTCTCTCTCTCTCTCTCTCTCTCTCTCTCTCTCTCTCTCTCTCTCCTTCACTCACTCCTATCCTGGCCTAAATCACTTACGACAGTATGCCCACACACAGTCACTTTCCTTTCCCAACTTTCCTTTGGACAGTCAACACTCAGGACAGTAAGAGAGAGAGAGAGAGAGAGAGAGAGAGTAAACTAAGAACTCACTGTGTTATTTGATCCTGAAAAACAGTTTAAGAATCAACTTTCTCGATTGAAAAAACTCTCTCTCTCTCTTCCACATTATTCTACCTAACCTTGATATATATATATATATATATATATATATATATATATATATATATATATATATATATATATATATATATATATATATATATATGTGTGTGTGTGTGTGTATGGGTGGGTAGGGAAGATGGGTGGATGTGTCTGGGTGAGGTGTGGGTTAGGGGTGAAGGTGTGAATGTAGGTCGGGGAGTGTGGGTTATAGGTGTGTGTCCATGGAGGGTTAATGTAGGTCAGGGGAGTGGGTTATAATGTAGGTCCATGGAGGGTTAATGTAGGTCTGGGAGGTGGGTTTATAGTGCGTCCATGGAGGGTTAATGTAGGTCGGGGAGTGTGGGTTATAATGTGGGTCCATGGAGGGTTAATGTAGGTCGGGGAGTGTGGGTTATAGTGTGGGTCAGGGACGGGTGATAGTGGGTACGGTAGTAGAGTTGACCGCACGATGGCTAGCCAATGTAACGTCATCCCCAAATCTCTGGGTACAAGAACGTATAAATCACACACACACACACACACACACACACACACACACACACACACACACACATGTTCGTGTATGTATCTCTGTGTGTGTGTATTCGTGAGAGGTTAACCATATATTTGTTTGTATGATTGTTATATGCAATTGTGTTTATACTGTATTATGCTACGTGTAAATGTGTGTGTGTGTGTGTGTTGGGATCTCACAAGAGAGCAAAAGGAGAGGAAGAGACAGAACAATGTGGCGCGTTTACTGTCATGTGCTGACATCAACACAACAGTGGTAAACCCTGGCTAAGTGTTGGCTGCCCTTGTTGATGTCTCCTCGTCTTCCCACGTCCTTCATCTGTTATTCTCCTTCCTGTTCCTTCCAGTTATCTTCTCTTTATTCTACTTGATGTTTCTCTTTCTGTTACTACCTGGACTGTCGTATTTACTCTCGATCATGATGGGGTTTCATTTCTGTCTGTCTGTCTGTCTGTCTGTCTAACAGCTGTTGTTCTCTGTTGCAGGTTACTGTTGGTGGCGCTCGGGGTAGCTACAGTTAGAGCTGACGCAGCAGCAGATGCCTTCCACAACAGCTTCCCTCCTGGTCCCGCAAGGTGAGGCACTTGAAAAACTAGTTGAGGGGATTTTAGAAATTAGGTAAGGGATATTAGAAGCCAAGTGAGGGATTTTAGAAAACACATGAGGTATTTTAGAAACCAGGTGAGATAATTTAGAAACCAGATGAGGGCATTTTAGAAACCGGATGATACGTTTTAAAAATTAATTTCTCCCATCTCCTCCAAGAAAATTTTCCAAATTTTCCCAGTGTACCTAATATTATCTACTCCCCACCTTCCTTTATCTCCCCTCTCCCCAGGTAAGTCTTCAGCTCCCAATATACTTACTCTTCCCCTAACTCCCCCTCTCTCCCCCCTCTTCCCCTCTAGGGTCCCAAGTAATGGCCGTAGTCTGTCAGGACCTCCCCGCCGCTCCGACAACAGCCACTGTGCCTTGCTCATCCCTGGTCCGGGCAAGTCCTCCTCCAGAGACCACACCTTAGGAATCTTCAATGGCATCCAGTAAGTCATCATCGTCATCATTTATTATCGTCTCTGTAACACCTGAAACTAAGCTCTCTTTATATCACGTAAACTTCCTTCTGCTACCACCTGAAGGTAATCACTGTGTAGACTTTTCCTCCAAGCACCCCACCATCCTTCAGTAGTATTCAACTTCTCTGTTCCAGAGAATTTCTCACAGAACCAAGAATCTATTTCCATCGCCGGGACCTCCTTCTCTGCTAGCTCCTATAGCTTTTTATATCATTACCCAGTTCTTCCTGTTTGCATGTTTTCAGTAGCTCTTAATTATCTTCCTTATAGATGTCTTTCCGAGAACAATTAAGCATCTGCCCGACAGCACCTAAAAGCTTTCTCTCTCCTCTAGGTCTCCCCACGCTGGTGATGGCTTCACCTGCATCACCTTCCAGTCGGTCGACGCAGCCTTCACTGCAGCCAGGGACCGTCACGGGCTGCCCAGACCTGGTCCTAAACCAGACAAGAACGACTTAGCTAACCTGGGCGCTATTCTCGTCGAAACCACCCGAAACCTGGCCAAGCAGTAAGTGTTGTGGAGTAGAGATGCTTTTATCATAACTATAAAATGTGTCCAAAAGCCCGAATAACTCGCTCTGCATTAGGAAATAGAATCTTGACAAATATTATACATTTTCTGTTGCCGCCTCCTTCAGATACAACCTGCCGAAGGACGTCCTGGTCAACGGCGTCCCGCTAATGGACACCTTCAAGACTATCATCGGATCCGTCTGTCCGGACTTCATCCTTCCCACGAAGTGCGAGATTCAGAGGTGAGCAAAGAGGGCGGGTGGGTTGGAGAGAGAGAGAGAGAGAGAGAGAGAGAGAGAGAGAGAGAGAGAGAGAGAGAGAGAGAGAGAGAAAGAGAGCCATCCCTCACACACCTGTGATTCACCTACAGGTATCGTGAGTACAGCGGACGATGCAATAATCTGGACAACCCAACCTGGGGCTCCATCAACACCGCCTTTAAGCGCCGCCTTCCACCTGACTATGCTGACGGTGAGGCCCTTATCATACACTTCTTTATTTAAGAGTTTTAAGTCGATTCTTTGTATACCTCACATCCTGTTGGATCATCGAATGTTGCTTTTGATTTCTCGGTGATGGACTTGTTTTCTTCTGGTTTTATACTCTTCCTTGCTGCCCTCTCACTAACGTGGCCGCAGTCCACGTCCATCAGAGCACCACACCAAAACACCGACATTAAAAACCCTTCTCCTTCTTCTGTGTCACCACCAGGCATCGACGCTCCTAGAGTAGGTGCCGGTGGATATCCTCTGCCGTCCCCCCGTGTGGTGTCCGCCCATCTTCACCGTGACGAAGGCCTCCACGACCACGCCATCACCATCATGACCGTCGCTTGGGGTCAGGCCATCGACCACGATCTCACCCTCACTGCTGAGACCAAAGGTGAGACGCAGATGACTCAGACTGAAAAGAAAACGTGAACCATTGACTCTATACGCGAGTTACAGTTTTCAAGGATTTTTACTCACCTTCACCCTCCTCCTCAGAGCCACGCACCAACAAGGACCCCAAGTGCTGTGAGGGTCCCCAGACCCATCCCGCCTGTTTTCCTATCCACGTACCATCAGAGGACCCCTTCTACTCCCTCTTCAGACAGAACTGCATCTCCGTGGTTCGTTCCCTCCCCAGCGTTAGATACGGCTGTAAACTCGGTGAGCATAACGTGATGGTGGCAAAGATTTGAGTTTTGTTTTGGTTGAATGAATCATATCTTGGATGTGAATTGTTCTAGGTTGAATTTGGTTTAGACATTTGGAATACAGAGAGTCGGCCTTATAAAACTTTTCGAGAACCTTATTTTAGTGTCATTTAATATCTATTCCTTGGTCTTTAAGTCCTCTCTTGAAAGCGCTTCTATCATCACTTAATAATATAATTCAAAAATATTATTCTCGCCTCTCGCATAATTACTCACCCTTAGCATTAATCCTACTAAAAATCCAAATTCTGAATCTTCTTCACGAATCTTGTCCACGAATCCTCTCATTATATTCTGTTATCAAACGTACACACGAAATTTAACGATGAATCCTGTCCACTAGTCTTGTGTAAGAATCATTTTGTAAGTCCTAACCAGATATTTAACCGATCCTGCTATCCTGCTCATGTGTCTGACTCTCTCGTCTCTCAGGACCCCGAGCTCAGACGAACGAGATTGCCTCCTACATCGATGCCAACTGGATCTACGGCAGTGTCAACAAACACGCCGAAGACCTGAGACTACACAGGGGAGGACTGATGAAGGTGAGAGAGAGAGAGAGAGAGAGAGAGAGAGAGAGAGAGAGAGAGAGAGAGAGAAAGAGAGAGAATCATAAACATATTGTATATAATCATAACCATGTCGTCAACATATCTCCTCGACCACCATCACCCCATTCACTGCCTGTTCCTCTTGTTCCATCATTTACCCATCCACCCATCCGTCCCATCCCTCTCACCAAGTTTCCCACCGCCGACCTTCCCCCCTCTCACTTCCCTCCTACCGCCTTACCCTTCCCTCTTCCACTTCCCATCACCTTTCTCTTATTTCTCCCATCCCACACCACCTTCCCCTTCACTTTCCCACATCCTCTAACGTTTCCCTCTCTCCTGCCATAGTCACTGCCAGTGTTCAGGGAGTACGGGATGAAGGACTTGCTGCCCTTGAAGCTGGAGGAACCTGACGAAGGATGCATCAGGCCCAACAAGGATATCTACTGCTTCGACGCTGGTGACGGTCGAGTGAACGAACAGCTGGTAAGGTCCTGAACGGCATTTATAATTGAAAACCCCCATAGTAATAATTAGATAAGTAAAATTATACTAGTACGAGTGTCAATACTATTACTACTACTACTACTACTACTACTAAATAATAACAATAACACAAATTCTTCCTCACAGCTAGACCCTTTGTACCTTCCCTCCCCAGGTTCTTGCAGTCATCCACACTATGATGATGAGGGAACACAACAGAATTGCCACTGAGCTTTACCGCTACAACCCACATTGGGACGATGGCAAACTCTACCACGTAAGTTACCCTTCCCTCCTCCTTTTGCCTATCGGATGTTTAACCTGTCGTGGAGGTAATAAAGAAGTTGATAGGGGAATCTTAGAGGCTAGTGAGGAATTATATGGAGATTATTGATCGTTCTTGGGATGTCGTAGTGGTTTAAAAGTTTTATATTATTCACTTAATTGATTTTCAGTGTTAGTTTGGCAGTCAGTGGCTGAGGTAGAGAGGCATAAGGACTTCTGGACTGGTTGGAAACTGTTGGACTATTATGAGGATATGAACTTAGCCGTATTTAGTAGATACATATAGCTGGCACGAAACCCAAAACTCCTGGAGTAAATAAACACCGAAACAATTAAAAGAACAAAGGTAAATCGCCAAGGTAACACAAATGAGGTAAACACACCTTCTTCTTCCTGCAGGAGACTCGCCACATCATCGCTGCCATCACTCAGCACATCACATACAACGAGTTCCTGCCTATGGTGTTGGGTAAGGATGTCATGAACAAATATGGACTCATCCTCGAGAAACATGTGAGTACCAGCCACTGTGCGTGAGAGAGAGAGAGAGAGAAAGAGAGAGAGAGAGAGAGAGAGAGAGAGAGAGAGAGAGAGAGAGAGAGAGAGAGAGAGAGAGAGAGAGAGAGAGAGAGTATATTGAGTATTTGAATGTATTTGTTTAATACTGATGTTTACTTCAAGTTCTCAGCAGTGTTAAATTAGGAATATATTTACAGCTCTATCCTTTACTTTTTCCCGCCTGTTCCTTCTTCTTGTTTCTTTGCATTTATTTCTTTATTTTTTTCTGGATTTTATTGTCATTTACTTCTTCTTCTATTTCTTCTTCTACTTCTTCGTCTACTTCTTCTTCATCTTCTTATTGCTCCCACAGTTTATCTTATCTTCTCTTTCTTTGTTCTCCTTCCAGGGTTACTTCGATGGTTATGACCCCAAAGTCGATGCGTCTATGTCCGCCAACTTCATCACCTCCGCCTTCAGGTTCGGTCACTCCCTCCTCCCCTCCACCATCGAGCGTTGGAGCCCCGCCCACAAGTTCATCGGTAAGGGAGCTGATTGGTTTGATATTTTTTAAAAGTCACTGACGAGACAATCTGATTGGTTAGTTAATTAGTCTTAGAACACCTCTAGCAAGTGATCTGATTGGCTGGCTTGGTCTTGAAATCCTATCCATAAGATTATCGGTAACAGGCTGGAAGAACCTCTAAACACACACAAAAACACTCCAAGAATACTTCCTCCTTCCTCCTACACTCAGATAAACGTTCCAAACACTCCTCCCCTCTCTGCCTTCTAAGCCCATAAAAACACCAAGAAAAACTTTCATCTGATCTACACACCTTTTGTCCCCTATAGCATCCCAGCGTCTGAGTGACATGTTGCGACAACCCTACGACTTGTACAAGGGAGGATGGTGCGACCAGTTCATCATGGGTCTTACCAACCAGGTGGCTCAGGCTATGGACGACTCCGTTACTCAGGAGGTCAGTGGGCGTCTTCAGCAGACTCTTGTGGTTATGGCAGTGGCGATAATAACGTTTCTGACCTGAATAACGAAGTTTAATTTCATTGGCTATCTATTTTAGTAAATATCCTTGTACTTTAGCTATTAGTCAAACTCCTTTATCAAGTATTGTCCTTTAGGCATATTACTTCTTCTCTCCTCGATGAACTCCCTCCCTCAGGTAACCCATGAACCCTCCTCCTTCTTCCCTTACAGGTGACAAACCATTTGTTCCAAGAGCCAGACAAGCGCTGGGGTATGGACTTGGCAGCCATCAACATGCAGAGAGGACGTGAGCACGGCGTCCCCTCCTACAACGCCTTCAGGGAGTTCTGTGGTTTACCCAAAGTGTACAGGTTCGATGAGCTTCTGGGATCTATGAGCAACAAGACCGTCCGGAGGTACATAGAAATTTACAGGTGAGTTAATGATGTTTGTAGGTGGTATTAGTATTTGTTAATGGGTAATAAAATCGTGATTGAAACATCCTATTGTCGAGGTCTAATACTCTAAATCAGTTATAATACTCCTCTTCCTCCACCCACTAGTTGTTCTTCATACCCTCCACCCACTAATCCTCCTCCTCCTCCTCCTCCTCCACCTCTTCCACCTCCACCTTAACCTCTCTCTCGTCCTCCAGGCATCCCGATGACATTGATCTGTGGAGTGGAGGAGTAAGTGAACGCCCTCTGCCAGGATCTATGATAGGACCCACCTTCAGCTGCCTCATAGGACTCACCTTCAAGGAACTCCGCTTCGGGGATCGCTTCTGGTACGAGAACAGGGGATTCCCGTCCCAATTTACCCTAGGTAAGTTTAAGGTGACTTTAAAGTGAGTTTTTAATCGACTATGGTGCGGTTTAGGGCAAATGATATCCCTTATAGCACCAACTCAGAGAAGATATTGCCTGAGCATGGAGACCAACACGTCTTAGTTTGGCCTATTTCATTATATGTATTTCCTTTTGTATGTAGTTTACATCTTTATATTTGTTCCTAACAATTTTAAAGCAGATTTGTTTTTTCTTCACATTTTTAATTTTCTCATCTCTTCCTTATCTTCATGTCTGTCACAGAACAACTGGACGAGATCAGGAAGGTGAAACTCTCCCGGATGATCTGTGACAACAGTGACGACATCAAGACCATGCAGGTGTACGCCATGGTCCTGCCTGATCATGAAATGTAAGTACTATAGCACCCAGTCATCTTCTGTGATTAACAGTACCAAAGAAGCTACAAGCTTAGAATTCATAAACAAAATTTTCTAAGCTACATTTTCTTGTGTTGTAACTATTACAAACTTTCTCCATGAGGACGATAATATGATATAAATGCCTGAGCATCTTTCAATAAAAACCCTTAAGTGTCCAAATGTTACGGCATTTTTCTAGGATAATATATATATATATATATATATATATATATATATATATATATATATATATATATATATATATATATATATATATATATATATATATATATATATATATATATATATATATATATATATATATATATATATATATATATATATATATACATATATATATGTTTATTTATTTATTTATTTATTTTTTCATAATTTTATTAGCCATTCTTCGTTACACAAAAAATGCTGTTGAAAGCTTATCTTTGGTACATTCAAAGGATGATATTTTGGGTTACAATTTAAAACGTGTGCTGCTTGGCTACATTACAGCAATCCTCGCGTGCCCTGTAACTCCGGGATCCTTCCAAGGATGGACTTGAGCAAGTGGCGGGACCTCCAAGGCACTCACCCCCGCGTACGTCCTGGCTTCTAAGTTGCCCCCAACAACCTCCTATTACTCTTCCTCCTCTTCAACGCCTTGCATCCTAAGCCCCTGAGTGCCGTCGATTTCCTCCTTTTGCTAAATTAAAGGTGGATGTGTCCCTTCTGTCACCACCACCACCTTGTACTGCTCCTCGCTGGTGTCCTACAAAAGGGTGCTGTCCTACCCCCATCCCCCTGTGAGGAGGTCCTCATGGGTGTCTTCTACCCCTCTCCCCCTCCTGGCGAGGTCTTTACAACCCAGTTCCTGCCGCTCGCAGCCTTCACCTTCCTCCTGCAGTGTTTCTCTCCTGTGCAAGACATTGCGTGTACAATACAGTGCTTTACCCCAGCATAGTGACAAAAGCATGAACAATTATATCCCGTTTCGCTACAGTGAATCTTATTCTTCCAGAAAACTTTTTAACTTTATTTTCTGCTGTATCTTAGTGTCCCAGAGCCGCCCCTAGAGAGTGTTCCTCTGGGCCACTTGAGTGTTATCTTTCCCTTACTTAGGGGCTTCAACTCATCTTATAAGCTTCTTCACCGTTCTCATAAGCCCTTCTGAACGCTCACTCTACAGCCTTCCATTTATAAATAAGACCGCATCTATACAGCACCGTAAATATCGTCGCTCCGTCCGTGATATTTAGAGCGACTAAACAAAGCTCTCAGTTATAAGGAGTTCTCAGCCATCTCCCAAGCAGGTGTAGGACCATAGTTCTTGATGGTGTCTTACAACAGATAAGCCTTTAGAATTGATTCTTCAGGACACGTCACACCCTCAATCGACTCACCTGGTTGACCCACAACTTTATAATGAAGGTGTCTGACCACGCCCACCCACTGCTGGTCCTCTCACTGTGTATGGTCCCGGTCAGTCAGTATGGATCTATACACAGCGTCAAGGTCCATACATGTAGTGTGATCCCAGACACGGTGTGTGAGCCTTCGTCACTACATACTACGTTACAAGTTCTATGTCACAGATAAAGTAACTCTACAAAATGTCGTTTTTTACGACTGATTCTATGTAATATAAATCCTAATTTATAGTAAGAAATATTAATATATTATGATTCTATATTACAGTAACATACTTAACACATAGCGAACTTATTCTACAACCTTAAAGTTATACCAACTTACTTACGTAAGGTAACCTGAAAACTACCATTTAATCTCGACGACAAACAAACATACACACACCCGTCCAGTCCTATCTCCGGTTTATGTAATCAGCGTACAGTTTGGGCCAGTTTAAGTTACATACGGTATTGTGGGACTCCGCTCCGCCACTTTTTATGTGCGTTCATCTGTGTACATACTGATAGTTCATACACGCACACACTCGGTGACCATGGACGGTCAGTAACCACTCATGATATCATGTGTACAGAATACACGTACACTAACTGCAATACACACTTGTGCCGTTACCTGTCTGGCGCAGCTCGTCCTAGATTATACCATCTTGTGTAAACACATTCAGACTAACTGTCTCTTGCGCTCCTTGTTCACGCGCAAACTGTTCCACCCCACTTCCACCACCAGTCACACGTTTACTGTCAGCCTAGCGCTTACCAGTCAGGGAAACACTCAGCTGTAAACCGTCAACGCCTGAACACCATCGCCAAGACACACAGGAAAAGTTTCATTAGACCAGAGAGATAACACTGGTGGCCAGGAAGTGAACAGTACGTGACGATAATAAATACGGGAGAACGTGACTAGTAAGTGTATCTACACTACCAATTTTTAACCGTAAGTTCCACTCGAAAATGTTGATAATTTAATACTCAGTTACTGATGCCGTTGACGATAGATACCTTTACATATAGAATGATACATGCTTGAGGTAGGAACATACAAAGGAACATATCAAGAGGTGCAGACCAACAAACAAGGCCCCGTCTGTTGTTCTGTTAGCTGTAAGGTTTCCACATTAAGCCAAGTCCTTTATTGTGTGTGAATTTTTTTTATTACCCATTATAAACTTTAAGTGCATCCCTAAACATGTTTTTGTATTCTTCAACAGTTTCTGTTTAATGTTTAACTGTATGTGTAAAATCAGATATTTATCTCCCCCTGTCTATAGTAACAAATAGGTCCTTATATGTTCCTTAAGGTTTAATGTGTTTCTTCTGTGTCTTTTAACTTGCATGAAAAACTCATTCATACGTTCAAACGTACAATATATATATATATATATATATATATATATATATATATATATATATATATATATATATATATATATATATATATATATATATATATATATATATATATGTGTGTGCTGTAAATATCAGTTAAACGTCACAACTAACCAATTAGTCAGTTTCTGCAATAAGGAAGATCTGTTATCAAGGTGACCGCTCTAACATAATTCGGATTGTATGTATCAACACTAAGTAAGATCGGTTGTTCCGGCCGGCTGACAACTCACAACACTCACCACACACTGCGTCTTCTGTCTACTTTGTTTTTTGTAATGTAAATTGCTTTATTTTTATTTCCCAAGTAAAGAGTGCGGACACAGTGGCGGGATATTAACACCATCATGGGTTGTGAGTCATGTTGTGAGCTCACTGGTCTCAAGTCGTTCTCTTGATCTGTCTGAGGCGTTGTGTTCTCTCACGAGTCTGTTCCCGCCATCTGGTGACCAAGAGAACCCTCACAGGTGGCCCCTACCTCAACCCCTCCCCTCCCCCCCTCCCTCCACCACCATCAGACTGATATCGTTACCTCAGTCTTGCACGCCGAGCTATAGCCTTCTTATCGACGTAATAAAAACTAGAAAAAATTATCTTACACTCTCCAAAAAATAAACAATAATATACACTCTCAGTATCTTACCAACCTCACTAATGTCGCCTGAGACTTTCTATCGCTCGTCTTGTAGCTCACCACCCTGAAGTTCGTCGTGTACATGGCGTCCAGCATTTACCTACAATATTAGTGCCATTTTCAGAGGCATTTTCAAGTTACCAATAACCACTACACAGCCTCTTGCCACTGTCATCATCGACTCAACTTACCGACACCGTCACTGTACACTTGGTAGCATTCTGACGTTATCACTGGTCAATTAGGTGCCTTTTTAAAGAGAGTATATTATCTTTAACTCAGGCTATAAGTCAAAGTGCATCCCTCCCTCCCCCTCTCATGAAACACCCTCAACCCCCCCCCCCATGAGACACCCTTCCCACCCTTCCCACCCCTCTCATAGACACCCCTTCCTTCCTTCCCACCCTTCCCTCCCCTCCCATGAGACCCGCCTGTGATGGAACACATGGTCATCTTATCTTCCTTTCCACCAGACTCGACCTATGGTGAGGGACCTTATAAATATACGGTATATATATATATATAAATATAAATATTCTCCTTTTTATTATAGAATGGGATGTAAAGCGACAGTTTGTACATATTGAAATATATAGTATTTTGCATAATTCAATCTTTTATTCCCTGATCCTATCTACCTACTTACCTACCTACCTAACCTACCTACCTACCTTACCTACCTACCTACCTACCTACCTACCTACCTACCTACCTACCTACCACCATTCCTTCCAATTTATGTTTTATATTAGTCTCGGTGAGATGTACCTACATTCCATCTCATCTCCCCCCCCACTCTCCCCTTCCTCCCATTAACTCCCTCATTTAATATTTTTCCTCCCCCCACAGTATATTCCCCCATACAATAATTATTATCTTTCCTGAATAATGTGATTTCTCCATAATAATATATGTATGTTTTCCCCTATATTATATTGTCTATTCTATGTTATCGTCTGCCCGTTCATAACCTCTCCCACCAACACCTCTTCCTACCCACAATACACCTCCCCCCCCTCACCCACCTACCCACGTTAACACCCACGCCAACCATTCCTCCTCACCTCCTCAACTAACATCAACATTATTCAATTCTCATTATCTTCCTCGCCGCGTCAACCAAGTGTTTATCGCCTGCAAGACCTCACGTAAAGGATAGCTAGCCTCTTGACCTACGAAGTGTTCTTTTCATTCCAACTTACCAACTGGGATATATATATACTCTGGATGCTGAGAAACAGTGACCCCTGGAAGTGAGAAACAATGACCTTGGAAGATGGGAACTACTGACCTTGGATGCTGAGGAATAATTACTCTGGACACTGAGAAAGATTAACCCTGGAAGTGAAAAACAGTGACATTTGGAAACTGAGAAATGTTGACCACAGAAGCTGAGAAACACTAATCTGGGAAGTGTATATAAAAAGTGAGATGAAAAATAAAAATTAATAATAATAATGAGATAAATCAATGAGTGAAGAAAGTGTAAAATTGATAAAATGAAAATAAATCTTCAATCAAAAGGTTAAAAATTATATACATGTGTTGGATAATAAATGTATAATTAAATGTTACTATAATGATACTAATCAGTTAAATTATACGTCCAAGTGAGGTGTAATTATTGACTATAATGATTGTATGTATGAAATAAGATTGAAAAAAGAAAGAAAATTACATAGAAAAAATAATAATTTATGTCCGAATTGTTTTTAAATATCATGGGAGAAGTAATTTCGGGTTGTATATAAATGAGTTTGTGATTATTACAACAAAGAACCAAGTAATTATTTTTGTTTGATCTATAGACAACTTGACATTAACCTACTGACCTAACCTTACCCTAATCTAAGTTAATTCAAGCTTAATCTAACTTAACTTTACAGCTTAATATAACCTTACGCTATGCCAAATCTGAGATAATCTAGTCTGATCAAAGTTGAATTGACGTAACCTGACCATACTGAACTAACCTGACCATACTGAACTAACCTGACATTAAGAGTTATAACAGTGGACGGTCATCTGAACACAACACACACTCAGTGACACTCCTAGATACTACTTAACTCCAAATAGTAATAGTAGTAGTAGCAGTAGTAGTAGTAGTAATGCCTATTAACACAGACTAGTCATAATTTTATCAGCTGTAGAATATTAAACATAGTATATAAGATAATAACTATTGTACAAAGTTTTCCATATAACAAGAGGCTCATTGTGTTACCTTGTCTCGCTCCAGGTACAACACAGCTGTGTCTCCATACAGTCACTGAGTCTCAATCGCTTAAAGGCTCACTGTATGTTCGCGTATTATTATTTTTTTCTCGTGTATCAGTGGGTGGATATCTGCGACACATTATGTAACACGAGGTGAGGGCATACATACATACATACATACATACATACATACATACATACATACATACATACATACATACATACACTGTTCCTAGATACTATTACTGTTTGTGGAAATAGGATCAACATTTATACACACAGTCTATACATACCTCTTGTTATGTATTATACATATTATCAACTGCCTCTTTAATGTGCTTTCATAGAATTTATTTTATTTTTATTAGGAGCACACCTCAGTAGTTTCCGAATATCGAAATATTCTGTTAATAGCTGTGGCGCTGGTCAGTTTTTTGGCGAGACCTCTCAGTCAGTCTTTAGTAAGTGTGGTGTCAACAACAGACAACTAGAAGAAAAATTAAGTAGATTTTCTAACCTTATTACATTTTAAGACCCTGAAGAAACGTGATTTACGGCAAGTGGTGTACAACAACAGTGTACAAAGAGCTTTTCTACAACTTTTATCTGCCCTGAGCTCACTGGACTTCCTCTGCTCCAACTGTGACCTGTTTTGTTCTACATGGTTGCCCCTCTGTGAGCTCTGACTATTCCTCTGGTTTAGTTGATCGCTTCTTCCTGATCTGTCCTTTATGCCATGTTCCAGATGCTTAACTTAACCTTTAACTGTGTTTGTTTTTTAATGTACTTTTTTTATCTATTTTTAACAATAAGTTACAGTATTCCTTATGTCAAAATATAGAGGAGGATATTAAAGGGTAAATTATATATTAGAAGTTGAATTCCTATCTTCTGGAATTAATTAGAAACGTTAAAAAAATAATATTTGTTATAGTTACCCTTACCTCGTTTTTATTTTCTCTCGTGCATGTTTTATAGAGAATATTTGGGACTAACTACACTATATCTTCTGGAATGTGAATCTTCATTGACTTTCTTCTATTTTTTTTAACGTATGTCTGCTTTTTATTATTGTCCATTATGAATGCCTGATACATCCTCTCTATATTGTGTATTGACCAGACATGATTTTCAAATCAGTTACCAACTTAAAACTGTCTAGTTTTTATATAATATTACAAGTTTTAGTTTAATACAGGCATAATTTCATCGTTACATTTTATTTACAGTATTTTAGTATTTACGCTATTTACGGTGGTCGAGTGGATACAGCGATCATCTCCTTTTCTATGGGTTGGTGGTTCGGTCCCCGGGCTCTCCCAGTTCACCCAAAGTGGGGAAGTGAAGGCGGTCGAGTGCAGTACCGGCCATACTGCCTCCTTGTGTACCGAAGGCTTAGTATAGTGTGCTGTATCCACATTGTCCCTAAAGGGCACTCATGCCTATGGGACCCACTTTCAACATGACTTAAATATCTAAGCGTTTTTATACAAAGACCAGGACTCACTCTCAGCAGTGCATCGTCCAAGAGTTAGTGCCGCAGTCAGTGGACGCGACTGGACCTCACAGACTGACTCAGTGGACGCCTGAACAAGTCGACTTTGGTGACATATCTTCAGTTAATTAAAAATAATATTTGCATGCGATTAACTGCTAAACAGATAAAATAATCACTGGATTTAACTAATTGATCTAATTTTAATATTATATATTCATTGTAACTTATCCTTTATAGTTGACATTATCTCACTGACAGACATCTTACCTCTACGATTTCCTCTCCGACAGGCACCTCAGAATGACCCCTGGAAGTGACGAGTCTGGAAGTTAGTTTCCAAGTTTTAAATGCACTCTATTGTATTTCTGTTGACCTAAAGTAGTTTGTCTAAGCCAGTAAACAGTAACTCCAGCCTTACTTTACCTCTTCTCCCGTAAATCCTTAAACAAGATAAACCTCTTTTTAAAAAGTAAAGATACGCAGCCTTCTGGTATAAGCAATCTATTATCATTGTGTTTATTTCCTTATATTTCCTCTTTTTTGCACATCGTTTCTTGATTAAGTGTCAAATAAATATTTTAAATGCAATATGTCCTCGAACAAAAATTAACAATGTTTTTTAGCAGTTATTAATGGTTCTGAATTGACAATGACTCTTTCTTCGACAAACTCTCATACCATTTTGTTCCACATAAGCGTTCTTGATGTATCTGTCTTTTATTTTATATAAATCCACTTGGCAGTCTTGTTGAATCTGTCCTGATTTTTAAACGTTTTCTTTCAATCCAATCTTGTTGAATCTATCCTGATATTTAACACGTTTTCTTCCATTGCAGCCTGAGCCAGCACCTCTCCTTTCCGTACAGCTCGACCCTTCCATTCTCCCTACCAACACCAAGAACCATTTTAAATTCCCTGGTAGCCCAGAATTAATTGACCCAACCTCAAACTCTCAGCCTCTTCCAGATTCTTTCCCTCCGTCACAGCATCTACCTTCTGCAGCACCTCCTTCTGTGTCCTTTGGCGTCTCGAATACCAACCAAGGCCATTCTCCATCATTCGGCCCCATCAGACCAACGTCTGAAATCATCCATATTCCTTCTCATGCTGTCTCTCAGTCATATGGACCACCCCCCCCTCCTCCTCCTCCTCCTTCATCATCCTACGCATCTCCTGAACCGACTTACGGACCTCCACCCCCGATGCCCTCCTACGGACCTCCACCGCCGAAGCCTTCCTACGGACCTCCACCCCCGAAGCCTTCCTACGGACCTCCACCCCCGAAGCCAACTTACGGACCTCCACAGCCAACCTACGGACCGCCATTGCCGGAGCCTGGACCCCACGGTTCAACACCCATGTCTTACGACATCCCCAACCCCCTACCGAAGCCCATCCACTTCTCTTCGGAGGGTGTCCACAACTCCCACGCTCCCTTTCAAGCTCCCTTTGAGTACTGTATAGGGGAATTCAAACCACTTTCACCCTCCTCTCACTATGGCCCCCCGCCCCTCCGGCCACACATCAGGAAGAGACAACAAAACCCGATTAAACATTTCCTGGGGATGATTGGTCTTAAGGTCTGAGCAACAGAGACCAATTGTTTATGTAAATTATTTAATTTTATTGATAACAAATATATATATATATATATATATATATATATATATATATATATATATATATATATATATATATATATATATATATATATATATATATATATATATCTTGATAAAATCACACGGGAAAAGGGAAACAACGGAGCACCTTAGCTTTCGTCTTTATTCAAGACATCTGAAGATGTCTTGAATAAAGACGAAAGCTAAGGTGCTCCGTTGTTTTCCTTTTCCCGTGTGATTTTATCAAGATTTATCTTATCCACGTTTTCATTGTGGATCTACATGATATATATATATGTATATATATATATATATAGTATATATTATTGCGTATAATACTCAAACAACATGTATCAATTGTTTTGACTTATCTGTGGGTTAGATCTGAACATGTCTGGAGTTAACAATACTTAACTTGATCACAATTAAACCATTAAACTGCAACTTATTACCTTATGAAAACTATTTTTTTTAATTAAAATGTTACAAATTAAAAAAAATAAATAAACTAGAAAACAAACAACAAGACATTCCTCTACATGATAATCACCAATGTTTAGGTCTAGTGTAAACATGACGACTCACTGCATGGTGCTGACACGCCATCACTACAGACCATTATCCTTAAGCGTTATCTTTTAGCCTTACACACAGATAAAACACATTTTTTGACATTGATTTAGATGTGCGAACTATCTGTGAAGAACCTGTGTCAAAGTGCTGTGATTGGACGATGGTGTAGCCTGAGTATACTTCACCTATACTTCACCTTTAAAGATGGTTAGAGTTTAAGGATATATTACACAACATACTCAAGACATCAACATACGTAGATATACTTCTCTTTTTAAACCTTTATATATTTTAATATGTTTCTGTGCATGCCTGTACATATATAAATATATATAGTTGTATATTTTTTACTAATTTTAATATAGGTTATATTTTTCTTTATTATTTTTTTAGGCTTAAAGTGTCACATGTAAACGTGTTACTAATAGTTGTATTATGTTTTTTATACATGTTCTCTGCTTATGCATATGTGTACATGTGAATACTCATATATACACCACCTTTTTGTTTAATACGTAAATATATATATGTACGGCAGCGAATAAACTGATCTTATATAAGGCTGTGTATTTTCTGCACCAAATTTCCCGTATATATATATAATAAATCTATTGATTCACTTATAAAGGATTTAAAACCAATTTGTCGCGTATTATAAGTTATTTATTTATTATATGCCGGACATAAACACAGTATTTATTTACAACATATGGCACAGTTAATACATGGATGAAACAGAGAGATGGCGTATATACGTAAACAATGCGTAAACAGAGCTAGCTGAGATGTGGAAATGTTTATCAAGAGAGATGGTGAGGATGAGGAAAAACGTAAAAAAAAATTAGTTAATAGACAGAGATGAAATATGTGTAACATTACGTAAAATGAAGAGAAAATAAAATACAATACTTATTGTTATATATGTATGTGTGTGTGTGTGTGTGTGTGTGTGTGTATGTTTATAAACTCATGTGTGTATGTAGTCGATGTCACAGTATTTTCTGGATTAGTAAACAAAATAAGAGCTGGAATTACATAGTGTTTTCTTAGGATAAAAAAATCATATTATCCTTTTTATGTGCGTGATTAGAGATAATAATAATAATAATAATAATAATAATAATGAATGATAATGGATGATGAAGATGGTTAGTGATAATGAAATAATGAGCAACAATACGAAAATGGGGGAAAACGTGAAAGAAAATGAAAATGACCAACGAAGGATAAAAGAGATCCATGAAAGGAAGAAATAAACATGAGAATATGCGATTAATAAAAATAAACATGAAATAGGAAGATAAACAAGGAAAAAGGACATAAAGATTAAAAATAAAATAAACATATTCTTTAAATTCTGGTATAATGTCGTATTTGTGGTAGTGATGAAGATTATTAAAGAAATATAGATAAAAACATATAAAATAAGATAAAATAAAAGGAGAAATACACAGGAATCAAAACAAGACATGATAAAACAGAAGAATTATATAGAAGGAATAAATAAGAGACATGATATAAACTTGAATAATATTAAGACATTTATATAGAAAACATGATACAAAAAATAAAGAGGAATAATATAATGATACTGTATAATATATAGAGAGAAATAAGAAAAGATAAGATAAGATAATATTGACGAAATATAAAGAGCATCTACAACTCTTTGGCCAGACATGAAACACTGCAGCAGACTCTGTTATGAAATAGTACACAGTTGAATTCATTTTTAATTCTTTCACTACATTTATAAGTTACTATTAAACACTATTCAACAAATGAGATACGTGTGACCCATCATTTATATATCACAACAGTCAAAAGTGAAATTTCTTAAGTAAATAGTGGTAGTTACTTATATACTTGAACACGTATAAGTGAACTGTACTTTATAGTGATATACTAAGGTAAGTTATTTTTATTATTATTACTATTATTATTATTATTATTATTATTATTATTATTATTGTTTATGTAATTGCATTCTTTCTTAAGTAAGGTTCATATTTATTCAATAGGTAATCGAGCAATAGTTTTGACATGTCATACAATAGGAAGATCTGATTTGGATACGATTTTGACATATGTTGATTTGAAAGCATTTAGCTGAGAGAGTGACGTGATAATCTGATAGGTCACAAGACAGATGTAAAGCATTTAGACATCGAGTGATTTAGAAATTGTTAAAAAAAAAGACTCTAAGACTGACATATCGTAATCTGACATCTCTAAAACCTGACATCTCTAAAATCTGATAACTCTAACTCTGACACAAAGCAATTAGAAGTGACTAAATCTGAACGTGATTTTAGAATTTGACACATAGAGGCTATAAGGAAGATTGTCAATATCCCACACGTACTGCACGCAACACTGACAATGTTCATACAGGTAAGTAATCAATTGAATACGTCTAGACAGCTGGGTTTGTAAGCTTATATACGACAGTTATACTAATACACTGGACGAAATCGTATGACTGACATCTATATACCTTGATATACTGTGAAGTTTATATAATAACAGATATACTAGACACTCTTTTACATAATTCAGGGTTATATGTGACTGGTATTTGGACTGGAGGGAAAGTTTTTTCTTATGGAACTAACTGTTTTGACAGGAATTTATTAACTGACTGGATTAGAAAGAAATTGGAGGTTATAGGAGTAAATTGACAGTTCGTTTTGACAGATAGAGAACTGACAGGTGGAAATTTTACAATTCTAACAAGATTGAAGTCGGAAATTAACAGACTATTTTACCATAGACAGATAAAAGAAAAAATATTAGAGGTTAGAATAGAGAGCTTGAAGGAAATTTGGATAGGGAGTATTATATATGTTTGTATATACTGTATATATATACAGTATATATATATATATATTTATTTATATATACTTACTTGGAATATAATCTAAATGGACTAGGGATTGTATATCGTGACTGGATTGACCCAGATACGCTGAGAAGACGTGTGTGTGTGTGTGTGTGTGTGTGTGTGTGTGTGTTTCGTGTGGATAATTTCTGCTTGTGATCAGGTGATGGGTGAAGAGGGTTGGGGTACAGTCTTATCTCTCTCTCTCTCTCTCTCTCTCTCTCTCTCTCTCTCTCTCTCTCTCTTCATCAGCAGGACCTCAATACAACATCACAACGATCAACAACACTACAGGAAGCCTTGACTGAATCTATAACTGTATCGGATGAAGTGACTGTAATCTCATTCACAAACGAGAACAGAACATTGAAGGAAATACCGAATGAATAACAGTGAATAACAAGAAGAACACAGAGGTGTCCTTATACTGAGGAAAATCTGTATCTATTGGTTATTCATACATTTATATTTGATAGGAAAAAAATAAGTATTACCCGCGCTAAACACTGAACATTAATACAAGCAAGGTGAGAAAAGTAATATCATGTAGTAAAATACGATAAAGATAATGCTAAGTAAATGATAAGAGCAACAGATGATAAACGAGAAATGACAAGAGAGAACAAGTCTCATAGGTTAAACAAGAGAAGGTAGTCATTAATCATAAATTCTTTGAGTCCACAAGTAAACAAAGATGTTTTTATTTTCGTTAATACTCGCTCACTCATACCATAGTGTAAACATTAGTTCAGTTGACCGGGTAGTGTAGTTTAAAACATTCATTCATGCCTTTGTTTATGCTGATCAGCTGACTCTATTTATAATCTTTCAGTTATATTGTAAACATTAACCAGTGAATACGTCATTTATACTCTTGTTTACGGCAATGGTAGTATCTGTGCGGGTGAATGGCCGAGGGAGTTAGGAATTATGCACTTGGAGAAACACAGGTGGAGAGTTGGAGGAGAGTAAATTGCTTTTAAGGAAAATATTTTAAGGTGTATGTAGGTGAGGAAGGGAGAGGGTGATGAGAGAGCGGTGGTGAGGGAAGGAGGTAGTAAGTGAGGGATGGTGAAAGAAGAAAAGTGGTGAATTAAGAGGAACATATAAGGAAATGAAAGAAGGGAATAATGGAATGAATGGAGGAAATTAAGTATCTAAAGGGCCCCGTTATACACGCACAGCCCGGCCCATCCGGCAAAATTGCACGTGTCTGGGACTGATTCAGGCCAAGATTTTTGCCCGCTTAGGCGCCCTCTCCGGCCTGCGCTGAACCGTGCGCAGGTGTCTGGGTAACCGCTCAGGTCAACGCTCAGTTTGATGGCAACAGTGGCAGTGATCGGAGGTGTGCAGTTGGACTCAGTTCATAGATATTTATAGAGAAAACACCTCTTTATGGAAGAAAAAAGTAAGGAATATTCTAACAAGGTTAAAAACTAATGCAGCTTACGATTTATTAAGTGATAAAAGGAAAGGAAAGACACATCAGCCACCTGTTGTAGGAAACCGCAGAGTGGCTAACAACCACTCGTGTGGAGGAACGACTATCCGCATACATGTTGTTTGCCTATTAACGGACACACCAGAGACAACACCTTCAGGTAAGTCTACTCGTCCATCCTGAGGTACTGAACTAATCTCCTGTCTTTAATCTCATTTCATCTAATAATGACGTAAAAGATAATCCGTCCCTGTTCATTAACCACTATCTCTTTTTCGTCCATTTGGTTCCGTCTTTCCTTGATAAAAACTCTACAGCAACTGCCTCAACTGCGAGAACATTCAGCTCCTCGTTACTGAGTAGAGTGTCCATGGGTGTCCGCGAGCGATCTTGTCCTAGGCGTTCTTAGCGTGTATGGGGGACTTAAGAAAGAGAGAGAGAGAGAGAGAGAGAGAGAGAGAGAGAGAGAGAGAGAGAGAGAGAGAGAGAGAGAGAGGTTACTAACACGACACAAGGACCTCACTCTTCATAGCACCATCAATAACAGTTAACACATCTACTATCTGGTCCTGAATCAATTTATTTTAACATTATTTTTTTTAATAGTTTAGTAATAGTTACATGACTCCTCAACACATCACCTCTTAAGTGTTGTTTCTTCTGTAGTCCTTTTCTTGTCTCTTTTATGGATTTACGGGTTTTTTTTTATCGCATCCTTAACACAATTCTCGCTTGTTGTTAATTCCAGTTTATGTTCTTTTTTATTAATGGCCTCTTTGTATCTAAGCACTTTATTGACACTACCACATATTTTTTTATATTTCTAAGTAACATAGTTCTAAGTGACATGGCGGTAAAGTAAGGTTCGAGGTTAGTTTCCATTACGACACTTACAATACTATTTTTATTCCCTCGTTTTTAACTGTTTAAGTAGAACAGATATATACACATTTTTATGACTTTTGGCACCGTTATGTAGTCTTCATGTTTCATTTAAGCACCGTTATATTTCGTCTTATCTACGTCTGACACTACAGTAATGATTCATCCTTTGCGTCACTGTAATATTTTTGTGGAGTTTTGTAACACTACAGTAAGTCATAAATTATCAATATAAATTATCTTTATTATCGTTATCATCCTTATCATAACCACTATTACCATCACAGTTAGAGCTGCTTTTATTATCATCCTCACCATCATCATCATCATTTATTTCGTAAATGTCATTGTCACTGTGTCACAAGTACTATTATTGTCATTCAACACTACCTATTTTCTGAAGTTATCATCGTTTGCCTTGACAATTTACCATTTTCTTTGACACGATTTTCTTTGGTGGCCATTTTCTGTGACGATTACCTTTGGCGACATCCCTTTTCTTTAGTAATAGCTAATGTTCTTTTGTGTGTGTGTTAGAGCGACAAGAAACAACACTTTCGAATCTTGTGATAAAACATAGTGTTTATAGGGTCATATTTTGCCAATAAACCTCCTTTCTGACAGTTTCCTTCATGTATGGTAGAGTTACGCCTGAAATCACAATCTAAGACTCACCAAACGTATCTACTTCCAACTTCTGTACTACTACTTTGCATTTTCTTTTTCATACTTTTAACATTATTTATAGAAGGAGAACAGTCTCTTCCGTTTTCTGTTCATACTAAATATATTACTAGGAAGGGGGAACAGTTATCGTGCTAAGAATAAAAGTTTTCGCCAGAGAGCAAAAAAATAATGTAGGTAAAGACTTAGGCCAACTTGCATGTGTTGGCCTCTGCACTTTGATAATATTATCTCCTGAGATTAGTTATGCATTGGAGACTACTCCTTGAACACAATCAAATTAATGAATAAAAGTGAAGCATTTCATATTCTAACAGGAATACTGCAGTTTCCTGTAGAGATCATCGTCCCGTTTTCTATGAACATCTTTCCATCCAGCATCCCGTGTTCTGTGAATATATTTCCATCATTCTCAGACAACAACTTTAAATGTCCCTGACTCTCTTTCAAGTAGGAGCTACATGTTATCTTCTTCTTTTATCCTTTCACTGTCTTTTCTTTTTCTGGCCAAATGATCATCCTACTTTCTACAGCAGTGTTAGTTATCAGCTTCATGTTGTCTTCAGGTGTTGCTACAAGTGCGACAGCAAAGTTTGTTGTAGTACTTGAGACGACACAACCTCGCCCGGAACACCAAGTGGCAGTTCTTTATCCGGTCTATACAAGCTGTTGGGAGAGAGCAAGAGAATGTATAGTGTGTGAGATAAAATGACAAACCGGACGAAGAATTTTGACAACCCTACCGAGACAACAGGAATCGTAGTGTTCATTTTGGAATTTTTCGACTCCATCCATAAAGATTTAGTTTTTTTTATTGTGTGTACAGGTCATTTGTTGTATACCTGCATTGTATATCTATCTATCTATCTATCTATCTATCTATCTGTCTACAAGATTTATATTTTAGGAAGATGTAACCACAATACAAGGGTGTAGGACAGTATATAAGTGTGTGTGTATGTGTGTGTGTGTGTGTGTGTGTGTGTGTGTGTGTGTGTGTGTGTGTGTGTGTGTGTGTGTGTGTGAGTGTGAGTGTGTGTGTGTGTGTGTGTGTGTAAGTGTGAGAGTGTGTGAAAGGGCGTGAGAGTGTGAGTGATCAAATGGACAGGAAACCAAATACATCAACCACACTTACTAGGTTTATCAATGGCCACCGGGGTGTCTTCTTTATCGTTATTCTCCCCCGTTGATCCAGTTTTATGTTGCCTCTCCCTGTTCTTCTTCCTGTCCTTCTTCCTCTTCCTCTTTTTCTTCTTCTTCGCCTCCTCCTCCTCCTCTTCCCTGTCCTCATCATTCTCTTCCCCATCCTCGTCATCCGAGATTGATTCGTCTCCTTGAGCATCCTTGTCGGGTATAACATTGATGGCACTTCCTGTTGTCTCCTCCACCACTAACTCATTCTCTTCCTCTCCTTCTTCCTCTTCCCCTTCCTCCTCCTGCTGATGGGTTGTACGGTCATCGTCAGTAGAAGCAGCAAATGCATCGTCCTCGTCCCCATCGTCATCTTTATCCACAGGTCTCTTAGTGATAGAGTCATCGTCGTCGTCTTCGTCATCTTTGTTTAGGTCCTCTGATGATGGGGCGGCCATCTCCCCTCCTGTATGGACAGAAAGAATAGAGAACATATAGAAAATTGGATAGAAAAGTGATGAAAAAATAGGCAAAAACATATAGAAAGTGGTTAAGAAGTGAAGAGGTGAAGCGTTGATAGGTGGATGAATCCGATAGAGAGAGAGAGAGAGAGAGAGAGAGAGAGACTCAACTAGAATAGAAATATAGATACAGAGGAAGAGAAAAATAGATCAATAATCCCAAGGACACATTAATAAACCGATAGACATATAGACAGAAGCTAATATTCCAATACAAATACAAAACAAAGACTTTTTTCTCACCAGTCTGTGTCTCCTGACTGCCTCCTGTCGAACCCAAGCGCTCACCAGGGCCAGGAGGAGGGGTGACGGAGGCGTTACAGGGGTGGAGGTGGCAGGGCTGGCGGGTGTCCGGTCTGGTGACGTTGTAGCAATCGGCTGACGGATTTTTGTTGGCGTGAAGACAAGTTACCTCACGACGCATGACGCCTCCTTCACACGACGCCGAACACTGCGGGGAGGGAAGGGGCTGTGATCAAAGAGAAAGGGAGAGTATGATACAAATACTGAGAGAGAAAGAAAGGGAGAGAGAGAGAGAGAGAGAGAGTGAGCACGGACTGAGAGGGTATCTCATCAGGGTCTAGTTTAAGGTGTACCTATGCTTACATAAGACCGTTCACAGGTATTCAGACTTACCTGGGACCACTCGGAGGTGTACCAATCAGGTGTACAGGGCTGGCCGTTACACTCGCGGGAGTCTGGGGGTCGAATCTCCAACTTACACTGGGAGTCCTGCGTCACCCTCCATCGCTGGCGGCTGTACATCACACACAGAACAGAGCGAGTCTCCCTCCCGCTGCCACAGTCCACGCTACACCCTTCCCACGGCCCTGTGACGGTGGGAGGGAGAAACATAATACACACACAATAGAGAGAATTCATATCACCATGAAACACTACAGTTTTCTTCCTTGGGGTTAGGTTATGTTCGGTTACGCTAGGTTATTGAATTCATTTTATTCAGTACCCACCTATGAACCACTGGCCGCCACAACCACTCTGGCCGCTGCAGGGTCTGGAGGCGTCAGGCTTGGTGGAGGCTGAACACTGACTTTCCGGCACCTCACCTCCCGCCAGGCAGTGAACGCGCCTTGTCTGCACGCCCGTCCCACACGACTCTGAGCACTGACGCCCGTGCACGATAGGACATGATGGTGATGGCGTTTGTTGCCATGGGCACACGCCAAGACGCGTTAGTTGTCATGGGTACACGACAGTCAGGTGGGAAGAGAGGAAGACACAGTCGTCATTAATAGTGTAATTAAGAATTTCGAATACTCAGTGTAATTAAACAATTAGCACATCAAAGCACAAACTTACATTCAAGAAGCAATATAAAAGAGTCAAACAGGTCATTGTTTACGTTTTTATGAAGGTTACAGCAGACTAAAGTTCACTCGCATTCTCTATCTACCTGCAGTGGCGGGAACTCACCTGATCGGACCAGCTGGAGAAGAACCAGGTGTTGGTGGCGCAGGAGCCCATGTCACACACCTGTTCCTTGACGGGCCTGGTGGTGGCGGTGCACAGGTCCTCTTCTACAGCCACCCCGCCCACCACACAAGTCACCAGCCTCTTGCGGGTCCCCAAGCCACAGGGCGCCGAGCAGTTGGACCAGGGCCCCGCCTCCCACTCCGGCGTAGTGCTGCTGCAGCGACCTATTTCACACACCTGTGTCATGAGGTGGTGTGATGAGTGACAGGTGAGTAGTGCATAGGAATTAGATTATGTTAGGCCCACCCCTCCAAAAATAATAAAACAGCGGAACTATTCGCTCCACTCTCTCTCTCTCTCTTACCTGCGAGGTCGGGACGGTAGATGGGGAGAGACACGCCCCCTCTGGCACCATCATCGTCAGGATCGGGGACACCACTTGTTTGCACACCAGAGGGCGGGTCTGAACACCCATCCCACACGTGACGCTACAAGGGCCCCACTCCCCCGGCATCCACCTGTAGGGCGGAGGGGAAGGGGTGAGTTAGGTATGAGGGGTAGAAATGTCTTCTTGTGAGGAGGGAAATGAGTTGTGCGAGAGGAAAGAACTTAACGGAGGGGGGAGAGTAGCCTTTAAAGCCTAACACTCATTTACTGTTTATATAACCACAAGGAAGTACCACACATGGGAGTACCACTCAAGGGAAGTGCCACACAGGGAAGTCTACACAGGGAAGTCCACACAGAGGAAGTACCACACAGACTCACGCGGCTGGGCAGGGCGTGAGGTTACACATAGCGGTGCGTGTTTCAGGTGGTATCAGGTGACCACAGCGACGGTCAGGCACCACCTTCTTGTTTCTCTTCCGCTCACACGAGAGTATCACTGTCTGGTTACCTGTGAGGGGCAGAGTGAGTTGTGAGAGAAGAGGTGGTGAGGGAGAGTGAATGGTAATGGTGGGGTTGAAGGTAATGGTGATGAAGTGTTTCTGCTAAAAATTATTCCATTATTTCCTATATCCTTCTCATATTATCATTTTTCTCTTGTCCTTCCATTTCTCCTTCCCGCCTCACCCACACACAGGATCACGAACAAGACTCAACGAACACCTTTAGTGACGTACCTCCACCACAGGGTCGGGAGCAGGGAGTGAACCCTTTCTCGGCCCACTGGAATCTCGAACCTCTCTTCCTGTGTCGTCCCTTCCTGTCCTTCTCCTGGTTCTGCTTCCTACCCGATAGGACTCCAGAGGCTCCGTCCTGCTGTTGGTGGCGTCGACGGCTGCCCTTCCCTCGACGCCTTGGGGGCCTTATGGGGACCTGGAGGAGGTGGAGTCAGGGTATGAGGGACTGATGTCCCTCATACCTGTGTAACGCTGTGTGACATTTAAGATCGTATCATAATAACCAACGCCATCTCGAGCAGTCAACAGCGCCTGGCAATCTCTTCCCATTATCTACAATGACATGCATATGAAAGGTTCGTCAGGCAAACGTTCGGTTGTCATCTGCCTGTACTGGTTCTCTCTTGTGTTTCTCAGTGCGAGATGGGAAGCAAAGAACTCCTAATTGATAGTAAGAGCATTTTGCAAGAGAAATTCTTTGTCTGGCCATTAGAACCTATATTGTTTAACCCCTTAGAGGGCAAAATATCCCTTTGGTATTTTATTCTGGCTAGTGTGAGACGATTTTATTAAGATGAGAGAAGCCCCTGCCCTCTAAACGACTAATAAACACTAAAGAATTTCTACAGAGTTTACCTTCCTGGAATAACCCTGAAATCTCTTTTTATTTCCAAAAAGAAATGCGTGTTAGAACGCTGGAATCCCTGGGACACTGTGTACCCATAAGAAGGATCCCAGAGACCATACATATCCCATTGAAGCATAATGAACACGTACTGTCCTGTTGTGTGTTGTGGAGGAGGGAGAGACATTGGGCTGCGTCAATTGGACTCCTGGGTCGAAGGGAGACTTGCCAGGAATTTTTCGTCGACCTGTAGAGATAAACACATGGAATAGCGTGACCCATAAGTTAGGAATCAGCCCTAAAACCCCTTTTTGGATCATATAAACTTTGAATACAATAAAGGAGAGAATAGACCGTAGTTGAATAAAAATATAGAGATGATCGACGCACGCTGATATGAAAAATTTATTAAAAACATAAAGTAAATCACGCAAAGAAATAATGTGAAGTTGCTTGGATTTTATCAGTATAAACTCATGGCTTTACCAAAATTAAGTTTCTATAAATTATTTAAAGTCTTAGAAGACGTTTTTGTGTCGTTTTGGTTATATATCAATAGTTCTTAAAGACACATGTCAAACGGTACATGAAAATGAGGCAATTTTTACCTTGGCCGAGTTTAGCGCCATGTTGATGCCGTGTCCTGTGTGTCTCTGTAGGCGTGGCCGGGGTGGTCGCCTCATGAGGAGGACGTCTGTGGTGCCCAGAGACGCCACCTGTTGGAGGTCGTCTTCCTCCGGGGCTGCCAGGCCGAGGGATGGCGATGGGCCTTAGAGGAACACTATTCTTGGGAAACTCCGGAGGGAAACCTATGTCTCTGGATGGCGCCACACCCGACGCTCCTTCTCTGTCATGGGTTCCACCGTCCAGGCCTCCTCCGTCACTCCTGCCCTGCCCTGGGTATCTCTGTCCTACACCAGAGGGCACGGATCCTCCCCCAGGAGCTCTTGGGTACTGTTGGCCCGGCAAGAAGGGCGTCCCTAATGGCACTCCTCTTCCACCATCCTGCAGGCCATACGTAGGACTCCAGGGAAGGGGGAGAGACCCTGTGGTCTTGGTGGTACTTCCTAAGGGCGTGATCGGCTGGCTGTGAGGAGGGACGCCGGGAATCCCAGCAGGACCCCTGGATCCTACATTCGTCGAGGGATCAAGAGGAACTCCCAAAAACGGAGAGTTATTCCTCGACGATCCTGAGGGACTGGTTCCTACACTTCCCTGGGGATTGATGGGAGAAAAGAGGACGCCGCTGGAGTTGAAACTGACCTGACCACCTTCACCTCCTACAGCAACGGGTGTCAGGACAGGGTTGATGGGCCCGAAGGTCCCACCTGGGATTCCCGTGTTTCCGGTGCCGTAAGGATACAGACTCTGGCCACCTGGATTCACACCAACTGAACCCGGATTTCTGATTCCGAAATTCGGGTTCCGTGAACCGATATTTGGATTTCCTTGAGGCAGAGGCTGGAAGGGCGTCAATTGGCCTCCTCCCATATTGGGCCTTAGACCCCCAGATGGGGTCCCCAGGCCTCCAGAAGGAGGTGTCAGCCCACTCGAAGGAGCACCGCCAAGATACTCCGGCAGTGGAACTCGGTACTCGTACTTGATCCCCGGGTTGGGACTCTGTGAGATCAACTGTTAAAGAAGTAAGACGATCATTAGTAGATTATCTGCCCTAATCCCTTCACTACGGGGACGCTACTCTCAATATGTGGTAAAGTAAACACAAGGAATGGTCTTCATCTCTGAGAGTTGTTAATTATTAACAGTTTTTCTCCACATTAGTCACGTTTTCTGGGTATCTAACTGTTTACTAATTTTCTAATTTATATTTTTACCTACTAAATGTACACACACACAAACATGATCATAGGTTCATTCACTCATTTATTAAACAGTAATACAGTATGTAAATAACACAAGTAAATAGCTACACCAAGATGACCACAGGTTAGCAAGATTCACCATAAAGTCGATAGGCTGTGTGAGAGGTCCCGGGGCTGAGAGCTGCTCGCCGTGGTCGTCGCTGGAAGGGGTGTAGAGGAAGGTGGTGCCGGCCGCCTGGTACTGCCCCGCTGCCTCGATGTCCCAGTTACCGTTGAGGACATAAGTACCGTCTGACCGTCGCAACGCTGAGAGGCAATACAAAGTTATAGTATCATACACACACAAAGCATTCCTACGCTACCATAATAATGTGGGACTTTACTTAAGTTTCTTTACACTGCTCTACTATTATTACGTAATTTTTCATTTTGTCTTGTTTAATCTAGTATGTAGATGCTTTGTTCCTTCATCTAAATTTTATCACTAAGACTCCTTTCTTAATATTCCTTTATTTAACACAACTTTATTCTTCCATAATTAAACTCCCGCTGTTTAAACGACAACTTTCAATCTTACCGTTTAAACTTGTTTGTGAACACCGACTTTAAATTCCGTCTTTTAGATAACTTCCTGATATTTATTACACTTATGTTCTCACACTAATTAACAAGAAAGGCACTATATTGGGCTGGTTATACGGTTTTATCTCTCTGGGTTTTGCTCTACTCATAATAATATATTTTTATCGAAGTTTTCATACACCAGACACTAATACTCAGTTACCCATAACATACTCTGTAATAAAACTGTAAAAGAAAATGACTACTCTTTGGTGGATAACTACATCATTACGTCTCCAAGTTAAAATGGTATTATAAAGACGGAAATTAGGTAATGGAATTACTATAATAACAAAAAAGCTTTAATTAATTTCAATAGTTGATAATAAATTATGTTATTGTGCATTATAACACTTCTATTACCTAACTTCCGCCTTTATTATACCATTTTAACGTGGAAACATAATAATGTAGTTATCCATAAATGTTCTGAAATAAAACTATAAAAGAAAATGAATATTTTTGGGTGGGTAACTACATTATGTCTCCACGTAAAAATGGTATCATAAAGACAGAAATTAGGTAATAGAAGTGTTATAATGCACAATAACATAATTTATTATCAACTATTGAAATTAATTAAAGCTCTTTTGTTATTATAGTAATTCCATTACCTAATTTCCGTCTTTATAATACCATTTTAACTTGGAGACGTAATGATGTAGTTATCCACCAAAGAGTAGTCATTTTCTTTTACAGTTTTATTACAGAGTATGTTATGGGTAACTGAGTATTAGTGTCTGGTGTATGAAAACTTCGATAAAAATATATTATTATGAGTAGAGCAAAACCCAAAGAGATAAAATCATATAACCAGCCCAATATAATACCTTTCTTATAATTAGTGTGAGGACATAAGTGTAATAAAGATCAGTAAGTTATCTAAAAGACGGAATTTAAAGTCGGTGTTCACAAACAAGTTTAAACCGTACGTTGTAAAGTTGTCGTTTAAACAGCGGGAGTTTAATTATGGAAGAATAAAGTTTGTGTTAAATAAAGGAATATAAAGAAAGAAGTTTTAGTGATAAAATTTAGATGAAGGAACAAGACAATTAGGCTAGATTAAACTAGACAAAATTTAAAATTCCTTAATAATAAAAGAACATTCGAAAAAAACTTAAGTAAAGTTGCACATGATTGACTACCATAGTACTGTATCTCACCACATGGTATCCTTACCTACCATAGTACTGTATCTCACCACATGGTATCCTTACCTACCATAGTACTGTATCTCACCACATGGTATCATTACCTACCATAGTACTATTAATTCCATGGTGAGAGTTGTTGTGATAATAGAGAATATTTAATGTTATGCATGACACATTTTATTAATCCCTGGTCTTATGGGGACAGCTAAATTCTGGCAAATACTACACTACCCAACCCCGCAGCCCTACTACCCCTGCCCTGTACCTCCGTTCACGTACTGGTTACCCTCTACAACTACCCTACCACCCTCCTACCCCAACCCTGCACCCCTATCTCCCTGCCTCCCTCCACTACGCTCTGCTAGCTTGGGTATAAGTAAAAATATTTTACTTGTGAGGATTAAGATATATCTAACAGTCTTGTGCCGGAAACTCGGAAAACCCGGTAAGTTATGGGGATACACAGGCGCCTATAACTCACCAGAGAAAACGAAAATTTCTCACGGGTAACTTTGGTGAAAATAAAGTGACCCGGCGGACACTCGGAAGATTTATTCTTAAAGTATAAATATACTCTGTGGAGATATACACCAGATTATAGGTGAAAGTTTAAGAACCGTTTCTACTGCTGAAACCTAAGATAAAAGAACCAGAAAAGTAAACTGATCCCAATTGATTATCCTTCCGTATATTATATTATATATCCAATACATATAAATAATGTACCAAAATATCACATAAATAGTTTTAATATACAATATATCACGACTAGCTACTAAGCTGTCATGAAGTGAAGAGAAGAAAGAAGCAAATAAGTTTATTGTTTATATTTCTCACCAAAGAAGTTTTTCGAAGGTTTCATCTCGGTGATGGTGAGGTTACACACCCCAGCAGGCACCGGCGTGACCAGAGAGTAACCATAGGGAAGCGGCGACCTGGTGAAGATGCCTGTAAGAGGGACACCCCGTGAGAGACCTAATATGGGCAGTTTATTTTAGTTTTTATCACATTTCTCAAGCATTATTTAACAGTTTAGTAAAATTTAGATACCACAAAATACTGAGATGATCCCGAACTAATATCTAGTGGTCGGTTAAATTAGTCCCAAGTGTAATAGACTGAACCTAAACTAACCATTAGGCCTGAAGCTCATGTCTAATGGTTAGGTTAAGTTTTGGTCGGTTAGGATATGGGAGTATTGGACCAACAGCCGTCATTCTAATAGGACCTGCAGGTAGAATATCTTTACTCACCAGATATAATTCTACATAGGTTCCTTTCCCTGGAGCAGAGGGCGCAGGAGGGCGGGATCCTGCCTAGGTGGAGTCCCTGGAGGGACTGGTGAGAGCCCAGCTTCGCCGCCTGCAGGGAGTGACCAGAACGTCCTCCTTGGAGCGCCTCGGGTTTAGGGAGGCTAGCAGCGGCTGCCAACTTGTCCTTCGCCGTCTTGAGGGACAACAACACGATGAGACACATCATAAAACAAAAATCTGACAGTAAAATCCACATTCAGATAGAAATGACGCTGATTTTTATCTGCCTGTCTCTATAACTCTGTATCTGTCTTTGTGTTTATCTACTGTTTCTGGTGTGTGTGGGTGTGATTGTGTTTGGGCATGGAAGTGTGTATGTGTGTGTGTGTGTTTTTTTGTGTGGGTTAATGTGTGGAGTTTATGAGTATATGTGGACTGTATAGCATAAGGAGCGGCCGATACACCCATGACCGCCCACATATAACCGCCCACCCACACCCATAACGTGTAAGCATAAAGGTAACAGCTTCTGTTTATAACTTCTGGCAAACATAACTACTACACAACAGTTCTCTCCCTAGATCAGTACCCTCCCTGGTGCGTCACTTGGGTCTCAGCGATATGACACTAAAACTCCAACACTAATATTATAAGACCAATCACAACGCAGAAAGGAGGCCTAAGGGGTTTGTAAAGACGTTTTGATTGGCTGGTGAAATAACTATGAATTACAGGTGAGCTTTCTCTAAAGAATTGAGTTTAGTTGAAGTTGTGTGTGTGTAGAGTGAGGACGCAACTGAGAGACCGTGAGGATAGCGGCGGTGCAAGACGACAAGGGCCATCAGTTCAAAAGTAAGTGTTAATCCTGTTCATCGTACGAGTATATGAGCAAGGCGGTCCATCCCTGGCGTAGGGATTTAACATAGAATTAAACATTGTGTCCTGTTTCTTATTAACATAGGAATAGTTTAGCTGTCCCCTTTTAACCTCCTTTAACTTAACATAAGCAAACAATATTTCCCTCACAACTGATGAAGACAACATTGAACGAGGTTATTGATATTATATTCCTTTAATAATTGTCAATACACTTCATTCGCAGAGAGGGAATTATTTACTCGTTGCTCCTAACCCCGGGCATAATAGTTAAATAATAATAATAATCATAAACAAATGTCCCAGATATAGAGTGTGTTGGTGTGTGAGTGTGTGGTTGTGTTGACGTGTGAGTTTGTGTGTGGAGGGGTGTTGGTGAGGGAGGCGTGTTGGTGAGGGAGGGGTGTTGGTGAGGGAGGTGTTGATGTTGGTGAGGGTATTGGTATAGTATGCTCACTTATTCTAAACATTTATGTACACTATCATTTATTAACATTGCAGGGGTCAGGGGTCGTGAGAAGTAGTGAACATAAGTTACTGACAGCTGGTGAATTTAACAACAGTTTAGTATGTGTAGAAAATAATTACGTCTCTTGTAACACCATCTATTATGGTTTATTTCGTTAAGCCAATAAGAAAACAGAAGTAATCCATTCAGCCAATAAGAACAAAGGGCGTCTATGGGGTTAAAAAAACAACAATTGGGGAATCCCGAAATCTGCAAAATAATGAAACAACAATCATTCATCCAATAGGAAATAAGCTTTAGCAGGACGTCACATACGACTGGTTAAAACAATGGAAGATTAAGAGACAGTCAGAGGTTGAGGACAAAACTAGCGTATAGGTAATGATACAAACAGTCGCGTTAGTTTACCTAATTACGCTATGTTTTGTGATTGGCTGGATAGTTTAAAATTTTGTCCACAGATGGAGCAAGTTGTAATTTTTCTTGAAAAATATTTAACGTAACTAAATTAAGTGATTGGATTTGATATCATTGTTATTAATAACCTATTACTATTAGTGGTAATAGCATCATATGTTGCTTAATTATTATTAGTAGTAGTAGTAACAGTGTAGTGTATTATTAATAATAATAATTTTATTATTATTATTAACGCAGCAGAAATGGTTTAAATCAAACTCCAATTCCTGTTTCCCAATGTCCATATTAAAAAAAAAATTTGTTTGGGTGACGTTCTCTTTAAAGGGCATTTCTTAACTGTTTCCTTTGGACAAACTTTTCATGGCCGGACATAAATCTCATTGGTTAGGTTAGGTTAGGTTAGGTTAGGTTAGGTTAGGTTAGGTTAAGGACATAAATCTCTGACTAAATACATTACTTCGGTCTTCTTATCAGACCTGTCTACATGTCTATCTGCATGTTTATCTATTTTTCTGTTTGTCCGTCTAACTTTCCATCTATCTCTTCCAATCTTTGTAACCTCACTAGCTATTTGTCTGTCAAGTTACCTGTCTGTCTGTCTGTCTGTCTGTCCTCCTTACCTTCCCAAGCGTTGTTGGTTCATCCCCACCTTCCCCCTCTTCCAGAATCTCAACGTCTTCTCTTTCTTCCTTCTTCCTTCCTCCATCCTGTTCTTCTCCTACTTCCTCCTCCTCCTCCTCCCTCTCCTCCTTCTTGACCTTCTCTTCTCTGGCTATAGACTCCCGGACTTCGAGGTTGGAAGTCGAGGGATCCAAGGGTGTCAAGTCGGTGGCACACCTCACGCACACCTGTGGAGAGAAGGACCAGGTGAGGTAATTAGTAAAGGGGGTTAGTGAATTGAATTTTTGCCGGCTAGTTTATTGTGCACTCTATACTCATCCTGTGAAGGGTAAGACTAAATAGGATTGTATTCAGAGTCGAGGTCATGAAGGATAGGTATAACAGGTCCTTCAAGTGGTCAGGATATTGTGGTTTGGGATAATGGTGGTGGTTGGTGGTGGTGGTTGGTAGTGGGTGGTGGTTGGTAGTGGTTGGTGGTGGTGGTTGTGGTGATGGTAGTAGTGGTTGGTAGTGGTGGTTGGTGGTGGTTGTTGTTGGTATTGGTTGGTGGTGGTGGTTGTGGTGATGGTAGTGGTGGTTGGTGGTGGTTGTTGTTGGTAATGGTTGGTGGTGGTGGTTGTGGTGATGGTAGTAGTGGTTGGTGGTGGTTGTTGTTGGTAATGGTTGGTGGTGGTTGTTGTTGGTAATGGTTGGTGGTGGTGGTTGTTGGTAATGGTTAGTGGTGGTGGTTGTGGTGATGGTAGTAGTGGTTAGTAGTGGTGGTTGATGAATGTTGTTGGTGGTGGATTTTAGTTAGTGATTGACTGGTATCTCATGAGTAAAAAAAATAAAAAAAAATAAAGACTAGTCAAAAGGCAACAAAAACAACAAAAGCCAAGACAAACACCCCAAAAAAAAATACATATTAGACCATCAAGAATCTTATCACCACAAAACACGACCCACAAACCATAATGTTCAGGGCACGAAAATACAGACCCAATTTAATGCACCGAATCCATGTTTACGTTTGAGATATAAAACCTGAATTCCACATAACGAGTTTTGATGACTTAGTTGAGTTACCTTCAAAGGGATGACTTACGAGACTAGTTAAGAATTAATTGGATGACTGGGCGGTGATTATACAATAACAACAGGATAGGATAGATTGGACCCGTGATTTATAATACAAGTTGCTGCCGCTTACAGGTATAGTCTGAATTATGCAGTTTATGATGATGAAAGAAATTAAGTCTTTATAAAAGTTGAAGTTTGGGGGAATTATTTATTTGTATTGAGGCCCATGGTGAGGGTGAATGTGTGTGTGTGTGTGTGTGTGTGTGTGTGTGTGTTGAGCCTAACATGAAGAGCAACACAGAGAGCGTTATCAGACACACCTTCAACCTTACATAACTCCTTCTGGGTGTTTGTTGGCACTACACTGTGGAGAGGGTGATGGTAATGTTGTCAAGTTACTCTAGTGAAAGTAAGACTGTGTCAAGGATGTGTAATGTCGCTTTAATTGTTCAACATTTACATGAACGAGTGGGTGAGTGAGTGAGTGAGTGAGTGAGTGAGGTGAAAACAAAAACAATTGAGAGAGATTTAAATTTAATGAGGATGATGAGTGCAGTTGAGAGGTGAGTCAGCCGCTGTTTGTAGATGATGGCTGGTGACACAGACGATAAAACTTACAGGTGTTAACTAATGAGTATACATAAGAGCTTGTTGTAAGAGAAAGTTAATGGTGAATGTGAAATAAAAATAAACAATAAAAATAAGTAAAAAAAAAAAGAAAAGAAAGACAGGAAGAAATTTAAACCATTGCGAATAAAACTGATATTAAGTGTGAGTTTTGATTGTTTTCGGTGTCTTGCGAATATCGTAGGAGTAAACGAGTGAAGAAGTGAATCATAAGATAAATCAAGTAAATAAAATAATAAATTGAGATGCATAGAGAAAAATGACTACTTTTGATGGTGTATAGATAAGGAAAAACAGAAGATAACTTGACAGTGTTGTATAGAAAGGAAACACTGGATTGCAATACTAATACTGAAGAGAAAAACAAAGATGTTATTCTCGACTGCAGTGTATGGATGAGGGGGGGGGTGAATAGGGCGCTGAGAGATATGTTAACAATGACATAAAAGGAATGATAGAAATTTATAAAAAAACTGATAAGAATGATAAGGTGAAAGGGGTACTGAACAAAGACCTGATTGGGATTTATTTAGGTGGTATGGGTATAATAGGTTATTGGTAAAACGTGATTATTCAAGCGTGGAGGAGAGACAGAGAGAGAGAATGAAGGTGTGAGAGGGAGACAGACAGAGAGAGAGAGGGAGGGAGACAGAGAGAGATAGAGAGACAGATTCAAAGAGAGAGAGAATCAACGAGGTAAGAGAGAGAGAGAGAGACAGAAAGAGAGACAGAGGCAAAGAGAGAATGAAGGTGTGAGAGGGAGACAGACAGAGAGAAAGAGGGAGGGAGACAGAGAGAGATAGAGAGACAGATTCAAAGAGAGAGAGAATCAAGAGAGAGAGAGAGAGACAAAAAGAGAGAAAAAGGCAAATGGAAAGTAGAGTATGAAGGAGGTGTGAGAGAGGAAAGGGGGTGACAGACAATCCAGGAAGCAGCGGTGGGCGTGACTGACTGGGGAAACATAGCAGTGTGTGTGGGGGGAGGACGTGCAGGTGTTGAGGGATGACAAGGACCTTGTTGTGGCAGAACACATCTGTTACGGCAGCAAGAGAGTGAGTGATGGCAGAGATTGTGTTTACCCTTGACCAGAACACCTGCGTTACAGTAAGAGGAGTCTGACAAGAATGAAAATTTACTTTGAGAAATATATAAACATTATTATTCTGCTCTTTGTGATAGATATTGATGAAGTGAAGCTTAACCCTAACGATCAAATTGCTGGATTATTTATGATATGTTGCAATTACTTCAGTTAAATGATTAATATCTATCCAGGTGGCATTGGCAATTGAATGAAAACAAACTTGATCTGTACCAGTTCAGGACGTGTTGATTTAGTGAGAGGTGTTGCCAACTCCTTGTTATTACATTTGCTTTTTAATGATTCGTGTGTATCACTTACACTCGTTCTTGCTGTCACTGAGTTGAAGGAGATGAATAGGGAAAATAATAATGTACACAAAACACAAGTTAATATTAACAAAGAATAATTTTAATGGAACGAGAGAGAGAGAGAGAGAGAGAGAGAGAGAGAGAGAGAGAGAGAGAGAGAGAGAGAGAGAGAGAGAGAGAGAGAGAGCCTAGCATGATGAGGAAGGGATAAAGGGAAGGATAATCTTACCCCTCAAATAAATATACCCTACTTTTCCTCTACCAACCCGGGTGTTTGTATAAAATCAGTAAGACCAATACCAGGGAGACTCGACCCACCAACCCAACAGAGGCGTTACCACTGTGCCACCCAATATTTATGAGTAGTCATTTACTTAATTATATATTGCCTCTTTTAAAAGCATTCAGTAGCTCAGTGGTAACATCTCCATCTCTCACTATGACGGTTTGAGCCCAAGTGGTAAAGAGTTTAGTGTTTTACATATATGGATATTCGTATGTTATTGTACAATTCCTTGATATACCGTGTTTATATACGATGGTCGAAAACAGATAGTGTAAATACTGTTGATAATTCTAAATATTTATCGGTATTACTGAAATTATAATCGATTCTGTAAAATAAAATAAAAAGCATCAAATACTAAAAGAACGACCCGCAGCCACACCAGGTAAACAAACATTAGGTATTGGAGGTGAGCGGTGAATGGCGCCGTCTTACTAATAACAGTAATTACCTGGGGAAAGAAGTGACGGCACTCAGCTCAACACAACACTCAAGAGCCACCACTCACAACACAGGAAAGGATTTTAATGACGAAGAGGCGAAAAATACGAGAGACTAATAACACGTAATGAAGGACTGAAATCATTTGGTATAGGACCTTTTGCTTCACCCCTGAGAGAGACATGGTAAACAAACAGCTTCAAACACTAAAAGAACGACAGGGTGGATAATACAAAGAAAACATCGTTCTCTTAGGGATTAACAGATGAAGTAACGAGAGAGAGAGAGAGAGAGAGAGAGAGAGAGAGAGTATGTAAGCCGAGTTGTTCTGTCAGCCTGATGGTCATATTAGCATCACAATTATCTGTTAACGCCTACCTCCGAACTGAGACGGGAGGAGAATGAAAGAGGAGGAGTAGGAAAAATAAAGAAAGAAGAAGTTGAAGAGGGAAAGATGAAGAGTATAAGTATGAAAGGAAAGGAGGAAGAGAAGAGGATAGAGAAAGGGAAGAGGATGAGAAGCATAAGCACATAAAAGTTCATACGCAATGTTTACTTTTTTTTTAAAATGTAGTCCACCTCATAAGACAAGCCGTCACGGGAACTAAAGTCTCAGAACAACATTGTAGCCATCTGAAGCTCTCCATCTTAACGCTATTGCCTAAGAGGGTCAGCTAGATGCGTTCATTGTGGGTGTAAAGTAATCCCATGTAAGGAACCAGGATTCGAGCCTAAATACTCAGGGATCTCCAGAGGTTAGGGTGTGTGGGGTAGGTTAGGTTAGGATAGGTTAAGTTAGCTTTGGTTAGGTACATTAAGTTAAGTTAAGTTTATCTAGTATACAGTGTGTGTGTGTGTGTGTGTGTGTGTGTGTGTGTGTGTGTGTGTGTGTGTGTGTGTGTGTGTGTGTGTGTGTGTGTTTATCCATGTTTGTCATATAAACACATTTTCTTGAGCACCATGAATTAAACATTACACCAAGCAGTAATGTTTACCCTCTGGGAGGACATTTGACAGCGTCTGTCTGTCTGTCCGTCAGTGTGTTTATATACAACACACATATATAATGGCTTGTGTCAGCAAGTTCAAACTCAATAGAAAGAGAGATTGATGTCAAGTTCCTCTCACTGCTCCGTTTTCTCGAGGTCAAAATACTGAGACAGCGTTCAGGTTGTATACGTCCTTTATGTATGTATGTATGTATGTATGTATGTATGTATGTATGTCTCCCAAGGTAACTACAAAATCTATGAGCCAATTTTAGTGATATTTTGTACATGTGTAGAATGTTAACTGGATGAAGTTTAGTAGAAATCGGACTAAAGGGAAGGTTACAGTTAAAGGTTAAATATTTGTATTACTTTGAACCTATGACAATAAAGTTCAAAGTCATAGAGTTTTGTTGTGGGTTTTTATGCATTA